ATAATGAATATCAAAATTAAGTATTCTGTATGCAAACTTTTAAAAGTAGCTTCGTGTTATACCTGAAAGACCTTTATAGTGTAAATTGAAAATAAACTATCTCACCAAACTTCTTCATACTAACTTTCGTATCGTATAATATTCATGTCACAACTTAACACAAAGAATCTTTGATGTCATCTTGTTTATTCTTATAGAAGTTCCACAATTTACAAAGAACAAGTTCTCGCAATAAAAAAGTAATATAAGAAAAAAATTGCCCTTTAAGGTGAATTTCAACGGAGTTTAACTCCGCGTATATTTCAAGATACTTTGCGAGGAGTTAAGGTGTACGGGTTTGGGCAAAACATGGAAAAGGTGGTTCTTAGTGAATAAATTTATAAAAATGGTATAATGAGCGAATATATATTTCTCAGGCAGTGGTAGTCCAGTGGTAACGCGCTCGCTTGAGAAACCGAGTGAAGCGGGTTCCAATCCTGGGTCTCGCACCTCTGATATTTTCATGTGCGAATCATTTCTAACATGATTACCACTTGCCTTACGGTGAAGGAAAACATCGTGAGGAAACCTGCATATCTGAGAGAACCTAGCAAGTTTTCGAAAAACATGTGAAGTCCGCCAACCCGCACTTGGCCAGCGTGGTGGACTATGGCCTAATCCCCCTCGTATTGATGGGAGGCCCGTGCCCAGCAGTGGGACGTTAAAAAGGGCTGAATGCATATATTTCTTTTTCACACGTATTCATTCATTGATTGCCTCATTAGTCCAGTGGCTATCATGTATGGATGTAGATCTAAAGTAAGTCCTGGGTTCGAGTCCTGGCTCGGACCAAGTATGATTATTAGATTTTTGTAAAGAAATTCTCAGTAATAGCCCGAAGTTCACGGTTTCATCATCGTGCCTCGAAAAGCACATTGAACCTTCCGCCTGTTCACTCTTTAGACGAATTGTTATTTCGTCGGACATTGAGAGTAAAAGGAATAGAGAATAAATTGGTGTTTGCGTGTATACTTGTATACTATAACATCTACAACACACATGGGTAGTCGCAATAATATGTATATGGCTCTCATGGCCTATATCGGTCAAGATGATTTTTTTGAATTCAAGAGACATTTTTATGAATATTGAATGCTTTAAATAGAAACTTAGCTTCAATGTAGATAAAACATCAGCAGTTATCACATACTTATACATATTTATTTTGCTTTGAATAATATAATAATAATCTAAACTTATATAGATATTCAAATTTCTCTACTATTTTACAATAAAATGGACACAGATTCGTTTTTTTTTCGTTGTAAATGCCACTATTTTATTTTACGGCCTATGTGATAATAATATATGTTTGGTAAAGTGTAACAGACAGATTAAATTATTTTCGTTTTAGACGTCAAGTCTTTAGGTACAATGTAAAACAACCTTTTTGATATTGGAATATGCATATTCATTCTGTTTATTGCAGATAGAATGTGAATTAATCTTTCCATATATAATTATATAATTAGTCACCTATATATTTGTATTATGGATAATACTGTATTAGTAAACGAGTTGCTTATCTATACATATAATAAAATTGTAATTAAGCCGAATCTGTACATTAAATTTTTTTCGGAAAATCTTATTGAAATAAATATTATTATCGATACAGAGGCCAAATCTATAGTTTTTAGAATTTTTGTATGTCTGTCTGTCTGTCTCTCTGTCTGTCTGTCTGTCTGTTACCGCATCACAGAAAAACCACTGGAGGGATTTTGATGAAATTTGGTATGGTTATAGTTTGTTATCCGGACAACATATAGGATACTTTTTACCGCGGTAAAATGTCTGATTTCTGAGAAAAAAATACAAAAACTGCAATGTAAGAGTATACTAATATGTAAAAACTAAAAATTTGGTTATTGATCATCTGAACACGAGCGGAGCCGCGGGCAATGCTAGTATCTTATAATATCATCAGCGTATCTAGGTATGTTTCTAGCGTTACATATAAATATAAATTTCAGTTTAATGAGATCTCTTTTTTAAAAGTGTTGTTTGAAAGTTCGCATCAAAATCTGAAAATAGAAAGATTTTTACTTCTAAATTTAGTAACATAAACACATCTTTTAATCTCTAGAAATGTCAAATTTCTGTCATTAAATTCTCAGAAGAAGGAAATTAAATCTCTTAACTTATCAACTTGATGAAATTATTCGTCCTTTCCATAGCTTTTCCATTAAACAAAGACTTAATTATTAATAAAATATTAGATTAAGTGTGTCTTTTGTGAAAAATAAGACAAAATTGATACACACCATACTTTTTTAGATCTATGCGAATAATTTACATTTGAAATAAAACTATCTTTCTACAATAATAATAATAATATTTTTTACTTCTATGTCATACTGTAACTCTTTTTTTAAATTTAATTTTTAAATGTGATAAACTGTAACTTTTAAAAAAAATTTGCGTTATTTTTTACGCCTAGAGCAGAAGAAATTAAATTACCTACCTATAGGTATAGTGTATATGACCTAAGTGTTTATTAATTACTAGCGACTCTATCTCAATTTACTTAAATTCTAACTACACTTTTGAAGGCAGACCTTCAATAACTTTCAGTAAACTAATTAATGCAATACTAACCGACTTGAGTTACAAAGATAATATGTAGTATATCACTTTGCGGCTCAAAAACAGTATACACAAAAACCATGGTCGCCCATTATTATGTGAGAAATGCTTAAACCAAATCAATAACAATCAACACATTTGGATAATAAGGCACATAATATGTTGTAGTCTTTGATTATTACTTGCACAAAGTGCAATGTTGAGAATCGTGTCCCAACAAAAACAGTGTCCCAATAAAAACAAGAAATGTAAGCAAAATCTCAAGATTTTAAACAAAGCAAAACGTATGCCAGATTTTTAGCATTTGTTTTTAAAAGCAAAATCTTTTAACCCTCTTTCAAAAGAATAAAGCGACAGTAAAATTTCATTCTTATAACTCCTCGTTTTATAATACGAATTATTTAAACATTATCGTATGCATATTTAAAGGAGATTTATATCCATAATTTGACAATATTTCCCATTAATTATTAAAGTCTACTATTAAAGTTAAATATTTCACTTACAAGATATACAGGAAAATGTCAAGATATCCAGATTTAAGGCGTGTGTTCCCTCCATCAAGAGGTAGTGCAGCGATGGCTTACGCTCCAAATCCCTCTCATTAGGAAGGAAGCCCGTTTTGCAACGAAACTCGGATTTGCAACGCCACATGTACTACACTAAGCTTTGTATTGGCTTTAAGGATTTTTGTAATCTTTTAATAATAAAAAATAGAACAAACATGAATAAACGAAAATAAAATTATTTACTTACAGCTATAATCTTATTTTGATTGATCTATTGTTAAACATATGTTGCCTGAAAGATATCGCTGTTCTAGTGATAAGGCCATCTCTTGGGTTCTCTCTCTTGGCCATCTTTAGGTAAGCAATCTTGAAGTAGCTAACATAAAACTAAAATCTAGTACGAATTTCAGTTTTAGTAATATCAAGAATTTTCTCTAGTCGGATATAAGGAAATAGAGTACTTTTCTAGTTTATTTTACTATTTTCAGTTTAGTTCTTTAAAGGTACATACAAATCCAAAGATTATTTAAAAGTCCAAGTAAATAAAAGGAACGAAGTAAATTTTAACTTTACCTTAAAACTTTTCCTCTTACTTAATTACATTTTCATTTATCTTCCCTTCCATCCCTCTGCAATTTTCTACACAATTTGGTAAATGAATAATTTTTGTTTATACACGAATATTGTATCATCCTCAAGTAGAGACACAAAAATTATGGATATTATAAAAATAATTTAAAAAAAAATAACAGATTAAAATATTAACAATTCCCATTTTCAGGTAACTCCTTATCACCAAACGTCAGTTAGTCGCGATATTGTCAGCCGAATCGCAGAGACGCAGGCACCTGGATCTTTCAACGAAATTACAAAAGTTACTGTCACATCCAACTTTATTCATTTAAATTCTCATTTCTTTAGTACTATTCACTAATCGACTTACTTATCTTAATAATATCTTTTGTTTTTCACAAACGCTGTTCAGATTTAGTTAAAAAAATGTCTTCATTATATCCATTAAATATAATAATAATTAGATGATTATATAATTTATTTTAAAATATATATAATTCCTCATAACAAAAATAGTTCTTTAAGTTTTGTCGCTATGAAATTCATCATTTTAACCCCAGACACAAAAAGAGGGGGTATTATAAGTTTTACGTGTGTCTTTGTGTGTCTGTGTATCTGTGTGTCTGTCTGTGGCATCGTAGCTCCTAAACGAAGAAACCGATTTGTAGAAGATCTGTTTGGGCGTGTCTTACTAACTTTTACAGATCCGATTGATTTGAAATTTGGTGTACTGTTACTTCGGTGATATTTCCAAGACATGCTAACCTTGAGCTGATGTTGTAGCATCAAATAGTATGCGGGATGCTCAATTCCTCAGAAAATTACAGCAGATAAAGCGTGTTTGGGCTAAGAATAGTCTCAATGAGAGTTATCTAATAGAATTAGTGTCCGCGAGTAATTTAAAAAGAATGAATTTTAAATAAAAAAAATTAAGTAACCCCCGACACAAATAAATACATTAAAAAGTAAAAAATAAAATGTATCTCTTGGCCTTTTGAATTCATTAAAAGTATCTATTAATATTTTGATGATGAGCGTCGTTGCGTCGAGGTCCTCCGACTTTTTAGAGCTTTTTTTTGTTTCGGGGGTTATTTACAATGTTTAATTCTATTTTTCATACTACATATATGAAATGAGCCGATTAATATATAAAAAGAGAAATATTTAAGTAAACAGTGCCTTTATTATAATAGCAAAGAAACAAACAATTTGGAAAAATGAAAGCATTTACAATAGCAAAAAATATTCAAATAAGTATAAAACAAAATCCATATTTGTATATCCGAAAATTTAGACTCCAGCAACTTCTTCAATCCAGCCCCGAATGCTGGAAACACTCGTGTAGACTCCCGGGTAGCCCTTACGCGCACAGCCAGCGCCAAACGACACGATACCAACTTGAGTCTTATCTGATTTCAATACAGCTGGTCCACCGGAGTCACCCTGATTAAGAAAAATTGTAAGTATCAACAAAAGACAATAAATAGCATGATTACTTCATACAAATATAAATTACATTAGGAGTTGAAATTCATGTTAATTATTGTGAAAAACATATATAAATGGTATTTACCTATATATATATATAAAGTATAACCAATTTTTTTAAACACTAAAGCTCGTCAATACTTACTAAACGAAAACACTGTTAACAAAGGAAGAAAAAAGGGTACTGAACTGAGTCTTTGCCTATTTACATATAGATTATTATTGGCGTTTCCTAACAACGTGTTGGATTTTAAGATAAACTGTATTACAAACGCACATTAATATATATTAACATGGGTGTTTATAATAAATGTAAAACTTATTACGATATATTACTTAGAAAGGAGTAAAAGTACCTATGTACCATGTGGTTACTCAAAATTAAATAGTACTAAAATTCGATTTCTAAGCAGTCTTAGAACATAATCACGTATACCATAATGCATTTACACTTCATACGATTTTCTATTCTTAAATCTCTTCTGGAACCCTTTGAGATACTAAGACGACATAAAGAGCACACTGCGCCCCTTTATAGCCTTTATAAACTCGTAAAAGATTCATGAATTATTTATATCAAACAAAGGTTTTGCAGATAAGCTCACATAAATAGTCTAAGAAATATGCTAATAAATACACATTTACAAAATCTATTTTTTAAATATTAATATTTTTAAATATTAAGACTTATAATGGAATCAGCCAAATGATCGCGATGATGATAGTATCGCCATAAAGGTACTTAAAAATAATCAGCAGTGACGAGTTTTATATATTGCATTAATATCGATAACGAATTATTTGTATGGTAATATCAATGCAATAGATTATATTTATTTTGAATTGAAGATAATTATTTATAGTGTTGTATTTTTCAATCTAATTATAACAGAAAATACTACAATATAGGAGTTTATAAGCGGAAATTTTCGTACCTGGCACGCATCCTTGCCTCCTTCAGGAAAGCCGGCACAGAACATTCTCTCAGTAAGCGTTTTATAAGATTTACGGCAGTCATCGTTAGACACAACGGGTACCTCAACAGCCAATAAATAATCACTTCCTTGTCCTTTTTCCTGTATTTTTTATTTGATTTTTTTATTATTATTATTTTTACAGTAATAAAATTATCGTATTTCAGTTCAGATCGTAAGAGCAATAATTTGAAAAAATAAATATTCGTGAGCCTGTAACTTTGTTGTTATTAATGATATGAAAAAGTTGGCATGGACTTTTTTATAGAATTTTAAACGTACTACAAATTTGCAATTTAACATTTTTCTGTAACTCTTACAGTTTAGCTAAAAAATGCAAAAAACCATAAATTTGAACTTTAAAGCTATATAACAAATAAAATATTGAAGATAGAAATTCGACTCAATGGAACTTTTTGTAGTAAATTTAATAGTAAAAATGGTCTATTCATTCATTTTTATGAAAAATATTTTCGTCATAGTTTGCAGGACAAAAAAGTGTTAAAAGTCATGTTTTCCATACAATTTGTATGGGAAAACTTAAAGTTCGATGGAGAACCTCTTAGAATTAGAATTTTGAGCTCCGCTTTTAACAGGAGCTTTGTTGGGGCATTTTCTAAGATATCCAAAAAATGACGATATTTTTTGGCACACCCTTATATATATATATATATATATATATATATATATATATATATATATATATATATATATATATATATATGTCTGTACATACATACGTACACATACATAACTTTCACATTTATAATAGTAATCAATAATAATTTAAACATATTATATACTTTAATATCTTTTGTTTGCAAACGTTATCAACATAGTAAACTTATAAATTTACGTTAGCTATTAATGTATGCTAGGAAATATTGCTTCTCTAAAGTAAATTTTGAAACGAAAATCTAACAATTTCATATTTTACTTACTGAAGTAGCACCCCATCCGGTAACTGTAACGTACTGTCCAGGGTTTACTTGTTTACCAGCTTCAGCCAAATGTATTATTTTTGTCCTAACTCCATCTATTTCTAACGGACTGTCCAAATGGATTATTGCAGCGTCATTATTATATGTTTTTCCGTTATAATTTGGATGTAGGGTAAAATCTGTAGAAGTAACTATTTCCCCGTCGTCGTTAGATGAGGTGGCACCCAATCTTACATAAACATATGATGCTCTGAAATATAGTAAAATATATCAAATTTAGTAAGTTTTCATACAAAAAAATTAGTTTTCAGTCAATCAACGCCCCAATTGAACTTACACATCAGTCATCAGTGACGAAGGGTGAAATTTTAGCAGAGGTAAGCCGTTCCAAAAATATACAATTTTTATATACGTATTAATACAGAAAGAAATAAAGCTATTATTATATATGTATTTCCAAAAGAACATTTAAAAAGTTAAATGTATGTAAAATTATAACAAATAATTTTAAGGAAAAATGTCTTGTATGGACGCTTCACCACTGCTATATATGTCTTTTCTGTTCAAAATTTATCTACATTCATTAAAGGTTTTCGTCTATGTATGATTATAAATATTTTTAATAGCATTTTAAATACTAATTTACATATATTTATAATATCAATAATATTTTATACAATACCTAATCAAGCAATGAGCTGCTGTAAGTATATGGGTGGTGCTAATAATGGATCCTCCACATTCATAATTTTCCCCATCTCTTTCAACGGTCAGGAGTACTTGATATGGAAATTCTTCAATGGTCACATTGTGACCACCAACTATTCTGTTATTGCTTGAGGCACCACGATGCTTACTTTTTTTGCCGTATACATCTTAAAATTTACAAAGTATTGACTTATCATTGGCAAGAATATTAACATTTAATATATACTATAACTAGATGTGTAATCAAAAATGTGGTATTATTAGAAAACTAGGCAGAATCTCAAACTTATTTGTCTCTAGTTATAGTCAAATAAATAAAATACAGATAATAATTCAATTTTCTATTCTACGCGTTTTTTGACAATAGAAAGATAAATAGCGATTAAAATTTTCTTATTCTGTCAAATATAAAAATATTATGTATAATTTTATTTAGAAACCAAACCTCCACACAAAAATACAGCAAGAAACAAGATCGAAAGAATCTTCATGTTTTAAGCTAAGGAACTTAGAGTACCGAATGGAAAGTATGAGAAACTACGATGCTTTTATAGTTAAGTTTCAAGAATTCAAACTGAAATATATTTTTAATTTTCTCTTTAAAATTCATATAACATTATTATAAAGCCATTTAGCAGCGAAAAAAAGTAAATACTTCTTAGAAGATTTAACGCGGTAAATAACAAGCATATCATTTGTTTAAAAAAAAAATCTATTTGTAAGTAAAACGCTTAGAGCTATTTACTATTCCGAGAATAAAATACAAGTATAATAGATAAACATTTCGTACTACCTTTTTTATGTTGGGAAACGCATTTACACATACCACCTGCTTACGTACAGGTAGTTATGTGGGACTCACAACTAAAAAGTCAATAGTACCCAATAGAACCCAATAGAACCTCCACCGTCTTCATGGGGCGTTGCAGGATTGCTTACGCACTTAACTACGACGACGCGGACGGCTCTGCCGAACCAGACCACACAACCAAAGGTTTGCTCCCTCGGTCCACCCTGCTGTCAGAGAAATACCATTTTTTTTTTTATTTTAGGAAATGCATTAACGCATACAACATATAGATATACAGGTACGTAATGTTTGTCTATTTACGTTTATTCTCTTGCTTATTTTGAAATAAAAAATGTATGCTGTGCCAGCGGTCGCGGGTTCGAGTCCCGCTGGGGCATTCATTTGTGTGATAAGCACAAAGGTTTGTACTCCAGTCATGAGTTTTTATATTTAAATAAATGTATGTATTTAAAGTTATATAAGTATAGTGTATCAATTATCTGATATCTATAACACAAGCCTCGTAGCTTACAATGGAACTACATGGTGCTATGTGTTAAAGTCCCAGCATAATATTTATATATTAATAACTGGACTTCACGGCTACTGTCGAGACGAGATTTTTTGATATCATTATACACAAACAAACACAAACTCATAAAGATTGTTTGTATTTGTTTTACTCGGGTTAATACAATATTATAATATTATAAATAACATAATATGCTAGTCCTCCATATTCATATATGTACATATTATGTACTTTATCTATGCTAAAGTTAACACTCCTCCGTGCGCGTAAAAAAATAATCGCCGCGTGATTGATTGTTTAGAATGGAAGAAAATATAAAGTAGAACATTTAAATAGCATTTTTATTAATATTATTATCAGTTTTAAGTACTTTTTTACTATTCTTATTTTTATAATCTATTAAACTAAATAAAACGCAAGACCACTGTCGCAAGTACTGCAATGGCGAAATCACAGTTGTGATGGTCTGAAAGAGTAATACGAGCAGTTAAATCAATATTCTTACTTTTATCACAGAATGAATGGAAAAAGAAGTGCCTAGTGAATAGCTTTCTACTCTCGCTAGAGAATTATAAATGAATATAGTATACTAAAATAAAATTAAAAATTTTAAGTAACTCCTGACATAAAAAAAACCTCTAAAAAGTAAATAAAATTTCTATAAAATATGGGTACTTTTAATGAAGTTAAATGGCCAGGAGAGAAAATTTATTTTTTTACTTTTTAGATGTCTTTTTTTCGTTTCGGGGGTCACTTAAATTTTTTAATTTTATTTTTATTTCATTCTTTTTAAATTACTCGCGGTCAGTAATTCTAATAGATAACTCTCATTGAGATTATTATTTTCATGTTTGGAACATGCTATAACAATCTGCTGTAAGTTTCTGAGAAATTGAACATGCCGCAGACTATTTGATGCTACTGCATCTGCTCAAGGTTAGCATGTCTTGGAACGACCGAAGTAACAGTACACCAAATTTCAAAACAATCATATTTATGAAAGTCAGTAAGACCCTTTCGTTAAGTAGGAAATGAGTGATGATCATCAAACGCCTGAACAGATCTTCATAAATTATAGCTAAGAACCATCTCCATCACGATAATCTATCGTGAAACAAAAAAAACCGCATCAAAATCGGTCCATTTATTTAGAAGCTACGATGCCACAGACAGACACACAGATACACATACACACAACCAAACAGACACGTCAAACTTATAACACCCCTCATTTTGCATGGGGGGCTAAATAAACACAATGCCCTTTCAGTTTATACCTCACTTGAGTAGGCATTTTTGAAAATGTTCAATTATTCATTCCCACTTTCACCCCCATATCTAAAATGGCTGAGCCAATTTTGATAAAACATGTCTAATTGTAGCATACACATAATGCGCTTTCATTTATATCCTCATAGATACCCTCTTGGGTATAGGTATTTGAAAATATTCGATTATTCATCACCACTTTCACCCCCATGTCTAAAATGGCTTAACCGATTTTAACAAAACATGTCTGATTTTAATATACACATCATGTGCTTTAATTTGATACCCCACTTGGGTATATTTGAAAATATTCGATTTTTCAAACCCACTTTCATCCCCCATATCTAGTAAATGTCTGCACCGATTGTGATAAAACATATCTAAGAACCATCGCCAAAAAAACGCATCCAAATCGGTTCCCTCGTTTAAGAGCTACAGTGCCACAGACAGATACACACACACACGTATAGCGGTCAAACTTATAACACCCCTCTTTTTGCATCGGGGGTTAAAAAGTATTCTCGAAGGCCCTTTTACACCCTTTTTTATCCTTTATTATCCTTACTAACAATATAGTAAAAATGTGCATTCATGTACGTACTAGTGTTCGCCTAGTGGTCCGAATTCGAAAAAAATATATTGATAACACTAAAACTTGTCAATATTGAATGAAAAAGAATAAAATCGGTTGACAGAGGAAGGTATTAATTATTTTTTTTATCTTTTCCTACTTATACCTATATATATATATATATATATATATATATATATATATATATATATATATATATATATATATATATATATATATAGATTTGTTTGTTTGAAAGGCTTTTGCTTGCTTTATGGTAATAAACGAGGCCAGAGAAAAAAGTTATTTTAATATACTATACATAATTCGTTCTCTTTTCAATCTAAGAATTTTTATTTGAAATAGCCAAATAGACCTAGTTGAAGAATAGTAATTTTATTTACTTGTATTCAAAATTACTTTAATCGCCATCAAATCACAATATGTCATTTTCATAATATTTTTTTCTATTCTTAATCGACTCAATCGATCGCAAAATGACAACTTGTCTAAACCCCGATTAGTTAGGAAGTTCATGTATGACACCCATGTACCTCGGAGAGCACATAAAGCTGTCTGCCCTGCGTCTAATCTCCCTACGATGGTGTCGGATTCCCATCAGATTGTGAGATTGAAGGAATATTAAGTGCACCTGTATTAACGCTCAAACTTGTGCAATATAACATTACATTCGCGCAAATAGATACATACTCTCTTTAAGATTGGCTAATGTGACAAAAAAGTTAAATTAGTTACAGTTGTATTATTTTATTAGAAAGTAAATAAAAGATTGGATTTATTTTTTTGGCTTTCTCCTAAAGTATTTGTAAGATTTTAATATTAACCGCGTCAATGAAATTCGGTACAATCATTGCATTTGAAAACAGCGTATCTTTGTGAGATAAAATACTTTTCTCCAGATTTAGTATGACAAAACAAAGACCATGAAAATATTCAATGGAATTATTACTTCTCAATAACATAAGACCTTTTCCATACTCCCATCATATTTATTATTATAATTCATGCCTACATAAGCATAAATCTATACAATATTATAACCCAACACATACACATTTTTCGACTGTACATTATTTTCTTTAAAATTCAGCAGTTTTATAATGAAAAATAGTGAAAATAATAGCCTATTATATAAAAACTTCGTTCATAATGCCTCTCATCTTAGAAAAATAATAATACGATAGTCATTAATATATTACGCGCACACGCATTGACGACACGTTTGGCTCAGTTTATAGTGACCCTACTTGCTGTGCCAGCGGTCGCGGGTTCGAGTCCCGCTGGGGGCATTCATTTGATAAGCACGAATGTTTGTACTCTAGTCATGGGTGTTTATATATATATATATATAAACACCCATATATATATATATATATATATATATATATATATGTATTTAAAGTTATATGTGTGTAGTGTATCAACTATCTCGTATCCATAACACAAGTCTCGTAGCTTACCATAGAACTGGATTGTGCTGTGTGTTAATGTCCCAACATATTTATTTATTTATTTATTTATTATATTAATAGTTTTTTTTTCGAAAATACTACTATACTATAGTTTAAATTAAACACAGTATGTTCCTTTAAAAAGTATATTTTTGAATTACTTATAACAAATTAATCCAAGAAATAACATAAAAATAAATAAACAGTGCGTCTATATTATAAATAATCTTTAATTAATTAATATTTCTATTATACAAAATTATTAAATAAATTGAGATATGCAAGGAACAATATGTAACTTTGTATTATAACAATTTTAATTTAGACGTTAAATGTATTTGAGAGACATTGATTTCTTTAATTCATTTGTCGTGCATATCAACATATCTATATTAATATATTACATAACTATATTAACGTAATAGTTATATTATCCGAAGGTCCCGGGTTCGAGTTCTAGGTCAGGTACAACAGCTTGTATGTCATGAAATTGTCAGTAACAGGCCTGAGTTGGAAATTTGGTTTGGTTGAATTTTTGAGCCTGGTTTGGTCGAATTTTTGTCCTACCAGAATTCGAGAGTGGTATTATTGGATGTGCGCACACTTATGCACTATAATATCTCCAGCGTAGATGGCAAGTATCAGTGCGGTTGACCACTATGGACGATATCGGTCAGAAGGTCATTATTATTATAGATAAATAATTCTTAATATGTACCTTTTTATATCTAATTAGGACAAGAAACATTGAATTCAAAAAAATGGAATTGGCATTATACGCCAGTAGCAAATCTGATCCAATTACGTACTTTCGGTACATATGTGTATACGCCAGGATATCCGGGTCTAGCACATCCATAACCGAAAGAAACTATACCCAATTGTAGACCCGTTTCAGTTGACACTGCAGGACCTCCAGAATCACCCTGTTAAAGATTTTATTAAAGATTATCTTTAATGCTTAAAATAGACCATTTAACGTTACAAATGAAGTATAATTTAAACTTAATTAACATAACTTTGTTCATCTTCACTTTTTTTGGCAAAGAAAAAACCAGATAATTTTGTTCCTCCCTCGTTATTCCTTTTGGGGGGATCGCAAATAGTATTTATTTCTATACTTTGACGCGAGCGACTCACCCTCGCTTCGCTCTGGTGCATCACTAGGTGCCTTACACTACTATATGTGTCACCCCAGGTCTACCAGTGTACTTTTCATCCCAATCGGCACATCATATTTTTCACACAAATCGTAACGTCATTTCAGCATGAAGGATTAACAAACATTCATACACATACAAACTTTCGCATTTATGTAGTCCGATTCATATAGGTACTCCAACAAACAACTTACACTCACTCCGCTCGGATTCGTCCCTAGGTACATTTTCATGGTTAGCATAGATTTCTCAGAGATGAGATATTTTCCCGCAGTAAAAATGTCTTATATGTTGACGCGGATAACCAGTTATCATCATACCAAATTTCATCAAAATCTATTCAGTGGGTTTCTCGTGATACTTTCCTAGACAGACATATAAACAAAAATTCTAAAAACTATGGTTTCGATATCTGTATCAAATAATGACTATTTCAAGAAAAGTTTTTTCAAAAATATATTTAATGTACAGATACAACTCAGAATTTTATTATGTGTAGGTACACATTCATAATAATTCAGTAAAAAGAGCATTCTAATAGATAGAGAGCATTCTAAGATATGAATACCTGACAAGAATCTTTGCCGCCTTCAGGCACTCCAGCACAAAATTGTCTCGACGTAAGTGTACTGTAAGACTTGCGGCATTCATCTTGAGATACCGTTGGAACTATCACACCCATTAAATTTTCACTTGTCTGTCCGTTCTCCTATTAAGATAAAGAAGAAAGCGAAAATTTCAAGATATTGTTATATATTTTTTTATTTTTAATATATTATAATATTGTTTTACTTTCATTACAGTTCAATATATACTGTAGAATACAATGTTACCTTAATTTTATTTCTTTATAGTTTTTTTTCAATATAAACTTACTGTAGTATCTCCCCATCCAGTCACCAGGATATTAGTGCCATTCCTAATAGTAGTTGATCTACTTGGTAAGCCAACAGCCTTTATGGTAATTCCATCTAAAAATATCCCCCCGGGAATGTTAACCACACCGACGTCATAGTCGCTAATAGCTGGATTGTAGAAGGGATGCTGTCTATACCTAGTGGTGTTATATTGGGTACCACCGCTATCAGCCTCAGTACTTCCAGCTCTTACAAATATTCTTGTTATTCTAAAATAAATTGTTTCAATACATAAAAATGATGATAAGTTAATCTGTTTGTACCATAAAAGTTCCTAAAGTATTAATTCGGTTATGATGAAATTTTAATAATTATTATCATATGTATAATAATAAATTTAAGAAAAGTAAAAATTGGTCATAAAAAATATTTTGTATATTTTAAGAGCAATTATTTACATTTACGATACGATTTTAACGACACGTTTGGCTCAGTTTGTAGTGACCCTATTTGCTGTGCCAGCGATCGCGTGTTCGAGTCCCGCTGGGGGCATTCATTTGTGTGATGAGCACGAATGTTTGTACTCCAGTCATGGGTGTTTATATTTATAATATATATGTATTTAAAGTTATACTATATGTGTAGTGTAAGTAACTATCTAGTATCCATACCACAAGCCTCGTACCTTACCATGGAACTAGATGGTACTATGTGTTAATGTCCCAACATATATAAAAAAAATCCTGTACGTAATTTTTATAGCACTTTATCTATTTCTATTACATTTGCATACCTATAAATTAAAAATCTATAAATAATGTGTACTTAATACTAAAATATACGAGTACTTATAGTATGAGAAATATCATAGAGTATACCTACCCTGTTAAGCAATGAGCTGCTGTTAAAATATAATTTTCGCTTATAATCGATCCTCCACACTGATAATACATGATACCCATCTGCAGTAGCAAAGACACCTGGTAAGGCACATCTTGTATGGTAGTATTGTAGCCTCCTACAATTTTATGGCCACTTTTACCGTGATAAACTCTTCTTCTACCTGCCACATCTGAAATAATATTTAATTTACATTAAGTGTACAAAAAATTATACAATATTTAGCTTTAATTTATGCATTTGTAAATGATAACAATAAGATACTTTAGACCGATTTAGCCACATCGGCAAATCTCACACAAATTTTGCAGAAAATATAATAGTATACGAATATGTGCGCAAATCCCCCTCGTATTAAAGGGAGGCCCGTACCCAGAAGTGGGACGTTAAAAAGGGCTGAAAACACATATACTGTAAATACATACACAGATACACAAATAAATATGTATTATGTTTAAAATATGTACATTGATTATGGATACTTTTAACTCACCATTAGAAAATAAACAAAAAAGTAATAGGGCTACTGAAATTGCCTTCTCCATCTTTGACGCACTGAAGGTGCAATAAAAAAAAATAACAAAATAATGTTTAAATAGTGCAATTTACAAGGATAACGTCTATCTAAAACTATTTATGTGGGTGATAAGCGATTCATTAAATGTCATATTTGTAATCCGGATAATTATAGCAGTAAATAAGTGAGCAACCGAGTAAAGGTGTTTTTCTTTTCATTTAAATATAACCTTTCATAAGTGTGTATATTTGTAATGAGGATATAAAGGCCAAGAAATGATTTCACTTGCAAATAATAATACTAGCTTCATTATACTAGAGATACTAGAAGCAGGAACTTCGATGTTTTTTCAAATTTATCCTTTGATTAGTTTGAGATATCTCTATATATACTAAGCAAAGTATCTTTTAAACCACATGGAAATTACGATAGAGGTATAATTTGGAGAGAGCACGATTGATCGATATAATACATATTTGTTCAACCCTTTTTAATGTCCCACTGCTGGGCACGGGCCTCCCTTCAATATGAAGGGGATCAGGCCATAGTCCACCATGCTGGCCAAGTGCGTGTTAGCGGACTGCACATATCTTTGGAAAACTTGGTAGGTTCTCTGAGATATTCAGGTTTCCTCAGGATGTTTTCCTTCAGCATTAGTCAAGTGGTAATGATGTTGCAAATGATTCACACATGAAAATATCAGAGGTACTAGACCCGGGATTTGAACCCGTTTCACTCGGTTTCCCAAGCGAACGCGTTACCACTGGGCTACCACTCTCTCCATAATATGTACGTATATTATATGGTATTGGGTAAAAAAGAATACAACAAAAAATCTCATTAAGCTCTTATTGGCAATGTTCCAATTTTATTTACTATACACAACTCTTTTTATTCTGAATTATGCCTCCACCCAACATTATCTAAAAAAACTAAGAGAATTAAGTTAAAGCGATATTGAATAATAAATTCTTCCTTCTTAATTTGATTTTCTCAAGGATTTGTCTTCAAATAACATAAAATCTAGCTATTAGCTTCATTTTTAGCTTGCGTAAGCATGATCATATATCAAACTTTCGTGCTCAACTTAAATAGCATTCAATCCAGTTTCGCCGCGTTATGCACATCCCTTCATTCCTCTTCAATATTTTTAAAGTCTCCTTACTACAAGCCAGCAAGTTTTTTTATATTTATTTGAGTTTTTAGTTTTTAAAAAAAAATGTACTGTAGGCCAAAAACTCCGAGCGAAGCTCGGTATCCCAGGTACTAAAAACTTATATGCATACTATATATGTAGTAATGTAGACTAAAACTAGATTGTTAAGCATTAACCTGATTTACGCAAAATAGACCAATTTTCAACAGTAGTTTTGATCAAGAATACAAGTTGAAAACAATTATGTATTATTGTAATAGCGAGTTGTTAAAAATTTTAAGACATTATACGTACTTTATACTTGTATTATATTCCTGTTTTATCTCTGTTGAAATTCAGTAGAATCACTAGTTTTTTGCCTATAATTTAGTGCTACTTTAGTACTAATTTGATAAAAACATTGTGATTAGCTCAATATACAGCAGGTTCAATAGTAATAATTTAGCGCTCAATAAGTGCTGTTTGTAGGCAGTAGAAAAAAATATTTAAAAAAGTCTTATTTACAAACAAATTACCGCTACTATGAGTATGTATGACAGGTGCATTAGACTATGAAGGGATACTATTCAAAAAATCACTAAATCACAAATAATTAGTGATCATTTAGTGCTATCCATATACATATGAGCACAAGTTTGAAGAATAAATATTATTTTATTTTTAAATACTAAAGACTCTTACTATGATAGCCACAGCAAACTAAGTGAGAAATGGGCATCTAAGCAAAAAGACGCATTTGGCATCGACTTAGTAGTCAATTGTAATTATAAAAATTTACTCTGCACATTTGGCCATGCTAGATTTACAGACGTGAATTGGTCTCCAGATTTAAGTATCCATGTGTAAAAATAGGCAAGGACAAAACAGTTCAGTACCTTTTTATCACTTTTTTTTTGTTTAGTTTTATCTTTTTACCTCTTTTTCTTTTTGTTTAGTTTAATTTTGGTACGAAACAGTTAGCTTTTTTTTATAATATAGACAGTTAAATTCTATTCGTATATTATTTCGTCAAATTTTTAATAAACTTTATGATTGAATTTCGGCCTCTAACCGAGTCTACATATAAATTCTAGATATATTAGATCTAACATATAAATTAATGCTACAATAAAACACAATATATATATCCATTCAATAAATATATTTTTCCAATCTATCACCAATGCATATAATAATTAAGGTAACAATAACAAGTAAATAGTGCCTCTATATTTAAAATAACATGAACATTTTATATTCTAAACTTATATTTATTTTATTACGCATCAATCGTTTATTTCATAGTACTATTCTATGTTAAACGTTAGACAACAACAGATCTGAGGGTCACGTTGGTTTTTCAAATACCTATAGTTTAAAATTTTAAAATTACTATTAAACACGTCTCCAAACGAAATAGTAATTGACATAGTTCAATTCTATAAAGAAACGAATATAATCCAAAAAATATGTGCTCAGAAAGTCAACAAAAAAAACGTTAGAACTTAACAAATAAAATATTATACGCCAGTAGCTAATCTGATCCACATTCTAACTCTCGATACATTTGTATAAGCTCCAGGAGTGCCGGGTCTAGCACATCCACTTCCGAATGAAACTATACCCAATTGACGATTAGTTTCTGTTGACACTGCAGGACCTCCAGAATCACCCTGAAATAATTATTGAAATATATAATTTTTAAAGTTATACTTCTTTTGGCACGTTTGGAAAAAAATATAAGAGTAAAATTTTTCCGACAGCCAAAAAGCGACATGATGAAGTTAGTTGATAACTGTCACTTCGGTCCCCGTGAAAACTCATAACTATATTCAAAGGATTTTTTTCAAATATTCACAAATATATAACACGTGTTTTATATCAGTCGAGATAAAAAAAAAATATTTTTATTAATTTATCATTCCTTTTACAAACAGAGAGTTGTGACATACGGGATGAAATCTTTAGCTATTTTTGTTCTGTTACGCAAAAGACATATAACTTCTTATGCACGTAAGAAGTTATAAGTAGCACATAAGTGCACACACACACACACTTTTTTTATTAGAAACACATTGTTAATTATTATAAAACCTATTTAAACTTATTAATAAAAGTTAATTTGATTCAAAATCTTTGTACATTTTCCTTTGTTGGAAAAGAATACGATAACGATCTTCATATTTCACTCATAAAATACTAGTACCTAACAAGGTAATAAATTCTGACATTGGCTTTTATCTTAACCAAAGTGTAACAGACTTTTACATTAAAAAATAGATATAATATTGTTCGGCAAATTAGACATTTCCGAACAATACCGAAAAAAAAACGTTTACGAAAAAAAAAACAAAATGAAAATAAATCTATATGAAAATAATGAATAATAATTAAGATATATGTATGTGCATGCCATGGTCATTCTACGACAGGAAAATAGTCTAAGATTAAATATAAACTATCTTACATTATTTACATCGTTAAGATGTAAACAGACTCACACACTTTTGTTTTTATAATATGGGTGTGGTCACCTTCTCATAGAACTTTTTTAGTATATGGTGATTTAATATGAGAAGTATGAAATAGAATTAATCATAATGATTTTGATGTAGAAATATTTATACCTGACAAGAGTCTTTGCCGCCTTCAGGCACTCCAGCACAAAATTGTCTCGACGTAAGTGTACTATAAGTCTGGCGGCATTCATCTTGAGATATCGTTGGAATTTTCACTGCCATTAAATTCTCACTTACCTGACCATTCTCCTATCGAGATAGAGAAGAATATGAAAATTTCAACATATTGTTATATTTTCTTTAATTATTTTTAATACAAAACAAACCAATATATACCTTAACTATAGAATATTAGACATTAAGTTATTTTTTTATTTATTTTTAATAATATAAACTTACAGTAGTATCTCCCCATCCAGATACCAGAATAATAGTACCATTTTTTATAGTGGTAGCCATGTTCGGTAAGCGAACTGCTCTTGTGTTTACTCCATCTAATGTCATTCCTCCAGGAATATTAATCACGCCGACGTCATAGTCGAAAGTAGATGCATTGTACAACGGATGCTGCCTAAACCTAGTCGTATTATATTGGGTACCACCGCTATTGGCCTCAGTACTTCCTGCTCGTACTATAACTCTATCCATCCTAATAAAATATTATATTAGTAGGTACATATAAAATGTTATAAATTAAGTATTTTCTAAATTTACTTTTACACGAGTACAGAATTAAGTTATAGTTTAGAATTATAGGTTTTGAAGTGAAGTCGACGTCTATGAAAACCCTGGAAAAGATTGTATGCGCAAAGCCCAAGATCACGCTCAATGGCACTCCCTGAGAGAGGCATATATCCAAGAGTAGTCTGGTCAGCTTTTTAAGACGATTACAATATAGTAGTACAACCTGATATATGATCTTCCTTTAATACCTTATTAGTAAATATTGGTCAATCTTTTAACAAATAGGGTTATTCTAATTTAATGTCTTCTTTTAAATCGGGTATCACATCAATAATATTTTATGTGAGCAAATATTAAAATATAGCACCATATATTTTTGAATTTTAATTTTAATGTACAACGATACATTTACATGTGGGATAAAATTTCATAGAACTCTTACCCATCCAGGCAATGAGCTGCTGTTAAAATATATCTTTCACTTATAATCGATCCTCCACATTGGAAAAAATCGTTTCCCGACTGCAGTAGCAAATATACCTGGTAGGGCACATCTTGTATGGTAGTATTGTAACCTCCTACTATCTTATTGCCACTTTTACCATGATAAACTCTTCTTTTAGCTGTGACATCTGAAAAAATAAACTAACTTTTAAGAGTACATTTATTAATAGTACCTACATATCCTATGATTGTTAATATTCCACTTATATTTATAAATTAATTAATCGATCAGCCTATTGCCATTATCCACTACTGAACAAAGGCCTCCCCCAAAGAGCGGGAACCATCCACGGCCCGCCACCTTTCTCAGGTCATCTGTCCATCGTGCTGCAGGGCGTCCTACACTACGTTTGCCTAAACGCGGTCTCCACTCTAGCTTTCAACTCGCTTAGCTTTATAAATTAAGGCATAATATATTTTTGCAAAAAACGGTAAACCGACATTAAAATCACTTATAAGTATTTATTCCATCTTTAGGGGTCGAATTATTTTTAAATTATACAAATCTTACGATTTAAAGTATTCATTTATTAAAAATATTCTGAAAATCTATTTAAAATAAAACAAATCTTAATAAATTACAAATAATTATACTATAACCTACCATTACAACAGATACAAAAAAGTAAAAGAGCTGTTAAAATTAACCTCTCCATCGTAGACAAATTGAAGATTCAATATAAAAAAAGTCAATTTTAAAAATGCTTAAATACTACTTTATACAAGGATTACGTTTATCTAAAAATACTTCATGTGGGTGATAAGAGATTCATTAAATGCTATTCATATTTGTAATCCCCATAATTATCTCAGTAAATAGCTCATAATACGTATGTAAAAATATTTTCTTTCAATTATTTACTAATAACCTGCCTGGTGATAATAGAAAGTCCTTGAAGTACATTTAAGCGTACCTACATATATTATTAACTAGCGATTAAACCTCGCTCTGCTCGGGTTCATGCCTTGATATGTTTTAACGGTTAATGAGATATTTTTCCGCAGTAAAAAGTATCCTAAATATTGGACCGGATAGCCAGCTATCATCATAACAAATTTCATCAAAATCGATCCAGTGGTTATCTGATGATATGTTGCCAGACAGACAGATATACAGACAAAAATTCTAAAAGCTATAGATTCGGCCTCTGTATCGATAATGGCTATTTCATATTTCAATAAGATTTTTTATAAGCGATTTACCCCCACTTCACTCTTGGTGCAACGTATTCACTTCAGGTGCGTTCCCAGGGTTGAATGGTTTAGGATCGCATAGAAGAAAAACATACAAAAACTGAATCTTTTTTATGGGCAAGTTTAGGTTTGTATTATATATTTGTGATCAGATATATTTAATATTATAATCTGTTTTCATTAAAGTTATGTTACTTACGTGGTATTTTTAATGCACACATTCAAACTGATAACATACTAGTTTTGTGAGACTGTTTTAAAAAAATATGTAATGAGCTATCAATAAATAACATATTACAAAATTCTAAGCAAAAATAAATTTTACAGTTGTATAGAATGTATTCGTAATCAATATAAAATCTATAATAATATAAAACAATAAGACCACCTTCACTTACTGACTAAAGATGAAATCGAGTAAACTGCTTGAAATTTTTAGGTAATGCAGTAGAGATAATGTGATAACACAGGGTTTCCCAACCTTTCTTCTGTTGAGCCTCCCCGGATTATAAAAAATATTTTCATGAACCCCCTTCATTTTTTTTATTATAATAAAAAACACATTATTTTAACGTTTTTTTTTAATTTTAAGTTTTAAAAAATAAACTCTCTTTATCTGTTTACCCTTTGGGCGCTACCTTGTTTGAGAGCACCTGTGGTAACATATTTTTCTATAGGACTGACATATGGAGATTTAAAGAATATCGTATGTATGTGAAAGTCCCTCGTTTTAGTGCAAAAGACATAAACATAAGTTATTCTGGTAACACATACATAAATCAACTACAACTAAAATAAATGGGTAGTAGCAATCTATATTATTAAACTTATCTTAATATGGCATTTCTACAACACATATATCATTCTATGGCGATAAAAAAATCATTAACTATTATGTTAACAATGTCTCATCAGCCTCGAAGCCGCTAAGTGCTGTAGGTTTGAAATTGTTATTTAGAATACTTTTGTGCTTCATTTGTGTCAAGCAGGTAATCAAAGATCAACGTATTTTTTTATATATATAAAAAGCGCTTCATATATATTTTACAGTGAGTTTTTGCACCCATTTATACTACTATAATAAAGTCGTGTTGTACATTACTAAAAGTTTTTAGTAAAATTTGTGAATGGTAAATATTTTCTGTTTCCCTTCAGATTTTTTTACACTTTTAAGGTAATAAATTTTTCAGTAACCAAACCTTCATTTTTCCTGCTTTTAACACATTAGATAAAATTATATTGTTAGAGAAATACTTAAGTGGAAGTCTACCTATTGTACCTACGTCAAATACATTTATTTTAGAAAGATATTATGTAGTCTAATACATCATTATGTTTAATTTCAAGGAGCCTAAAGCAGATGCCTTATTATCTTATTTTATTTCATGGCTTATCTTTTTTCATGGAAACGTTTTTAATATTATATTTTATTTTGTTTTTCAATAAGCTCCATAATATATACACATTCAATATAAGAACTTCTTTAAATATTATCATTTTGACGTACCTTTTACTTAGACCAGCAGAAATCTTTTTTAGTTACTTAAAATATTTGCCTCGTTCAGAAATCGAACTTACAGTTCCATATACGTAATACCAACTATGACCCACAACAAATATGATTGCCCGCAACAATCATATTTTTATCATTATTCCAGTATTTACGACCCGTTTGGTTCAGTTTTTAGTAACCCTACTTGCTGTGCCAGCGGTCGCGGATTCGAGTCCCGCTGGGGGCATTTATTTGTGTGTTGAGCACTAATGTTTGTACTCCGGTCATGGGTGTTTATATTTATAATATGTATGTATTTAAAGCTTTATATGTGTAGTGTATCAACTATCTGGTATCCATAACACAAGCCTTGTGATTACCGTGCTTACTTACCATGGAATTGGCTTACCATGGAACTAGATGGTGCTGTGTGTCCCAACATATTCATTTACGTACGACACCGGCACCTGTTATGTTGGTATAAATAGCTAATATGTTTTTTTTAAATTTAAATTAAGCTTTTTATTTTTGATAAAATAATTAAGTTATTTGATAGTCTAGAGATTTATATATATTTTATATAAAAAAACAAATGCTAATTTATAATCATGTATCTTATCTATACTCGTACTAATATTAAAAAGAGAGAGTTTGTTTGTTTGTTTATTTCAACGCGCTAATCTCAGGAACTACTAATCAAATTTGAAAAATTATTTTTGCATTAGATAGCCCGTTTATTTGCAATAATCATAACTGTCAGTAAATCGGGCAGACTTCCATACATTATTGTAAAACTGATGTTTATATCGGAAGTTTAAACGCAGGCAAAGCCGCTGATTCTGCTGGTATAAAATAATCTTAAATTATGGTATGGATATTATTTGTTTAAATGAAAAGTAAGCATAGTATATAATTTACATCTTTATTTCTGACAATATTTTTACCTGGCACAAAGTTAAAGGTAATAATAATAAATTTTAAACAAAAATTAATACAATTATTGTAATTCTTTTGTTGAAAAGGCTTTACCCGCTAACATAAATTCACTTCCATTGATAAAAATGCCACATTGGGTAACAAACGACTACAAATAAAAACTCGAGCAAAGGTACCTACCTAATAAACCTTTATTCAGAATGTAAGTCTAAACCGATATGACTAAAAAGTTTAAAATTATGGGCTTAACATATGCACTAAAAATTATAAATTAGTATTGGTTTTAGAGGTTTGTTTGAAAAAGTTGTTATTGAATTGGCCTTGAATCCTTACTACTATGTACAATATTATTATTATGAGTAGAAATAAAAGTGTTAGTAATATATTTATTTCTTTTCCACGCAGCAACGAAGAAAGTGATCGATATATTTTTCTATACATAGCGTATAGTTCAAATATAATCCTGATAAATGCAGGGAATATTGTATCACATCATCAATTATTGTAGAGTTACTAACAAATGGGTCACAATTTGTAAATTAATAACATTTAATTGTAAATTAATAACATTTCCCATAAGCTTAATTTATAATTCAGATTTAATTCAATTCATTTTAAATTAGAAAAAAACTTTTCGTGATATTCCAAGTTAAAATTGAATTTAAGATTTTAAAGCGTAGTCTAAGCTTTAAAAGCACATAATTAAAAAATAAGCGGAAGAAGTTTTATATGGAAGTTATGTCTTAGTCAGTAGAAACTGTTAAAGCGTTTTACTACCCGCTTTATATCTTTACAACTCAAGTAATAGTGTCCAAGTATTCAAGATAGATATTGCGAGTGTAGACTCTAGGCTATCGAAATTTGAAGCAATAATAGATTCTTCAAAATTTTATACTTTATTACAATTTTTAACGAATTTTCGAAAAAAGATACTTTCAAGCTGGCTTGATTTTTCGATAAGCATGAACTAAAACATATTTTAGGAAATAGTGGGAATTCGAAAGAAACATCATGGGTTTCTTACCACACGAATTAAAACTGTACGTATATATTATACAAGTGAGATTCTAGAAAAAAAAACACAATTTTAACAATCTGCTGGAGATGATAAATAGAGATAATTTTTTGCTCTTTTTATCTCCAAATCTTTCGCATTTGACCCATTTACGACTAATTACGGTTAAGATAGTATACTGTCACGTACGTAGGTTAGCACGAAGGTTAAATTGTGAAATTCACATATGCAATACATTACCGTGAAACTATTACATTTGCATAATTTTAAAAGTTAAGAAACTAACTGAATGCCCATTTCATTGTATTTTGTCAATACAATTTGCAATTGGAGCTGCTATTGGTTTCGTGCGTTAATAGTTCTTTTGTAATAGACTTTTTAGAGGCGACTCTGAAAAAAAATATATTTTTTATATCAATAGCTGCTTAACTTGAAAAAAACATAGTAATTCTTAATCTTAAGTTAAGCTTTTACACAATATAATGTTTTTAGTTTTTGTTACATACAATAAAAATCATTTCCAATAAATTATTATAAAATAATTGTAAGGTCAGATGGCCGGATATTCGACGGCCGAATATTTAGCCTGTTGTTACGATGCATGTTGCGATAAGTTCATATATTATCTGAAGAATTCAGGTGTCACGTGACTTAGTGATTAGCGGAAGTAAATTGCTTATTTGCCCAATCACTGCGATCCTTATATTTGGTGGTCGGTTAACTCGAAGCAGAGCCTAAACTTGTCAATGTTTTCGAGAATATATGCCGTATTTGCCTCACAGATATTTGTATCCGGCCCGATACCGGATAGTAACAAAATAAGGTCGAATAGTTGCCAGATATCCGTTTTATCTCTTTTATGTAATCTTTTAGCAGCTTTTATAATTAAGCTATTTTATTTATACTAAACCGTAGCCCAGCATAAAAATGTTGTATTATATTTATAACCATCTGTACCCATTTATCTCCTAAACAGATTAAACGGAGCTTTTACTAGTCAGTATACGTACTGGTATATA